TCAAAAAAAAAGAAAAGATTCTCTTTCCCTTCCCCCCCCCCCCTCTCCCTTGTATCTCTTCATATTTTCCCACTCGAGTTTCATTTTCAAATTGTTTCTAAAAAATATTAGCACTATAACATTCACCACACGATTTAAATTTCTTTTCTTTTATCAGTCGGAGCAAAAAAGCTATCTCGCACCTTGTTCCCTTTCCCCCCCCCCCCTGGAGTAATTATCCATTTTTTTTTTATTTTTTATCTCACTATTTTGTGTATAAATCGGTCATTTGACAAACCTCCATTTTAAAAAAAAAATCTTTTTTTTTCTTTAAATATCGCGCGCTTGTTCATAATAATGGAAAATAAAAGAAAAAAAAATTTCTTTTTTTAATGAAAAAAAAGAAAATAAAATAAGTTTTTTTTTTTTTTAATATTAGGATACAAAATTGTTTTGAAATACTGATTTCTCTAGTTTTAGGGGCGAGTTTCCATTTATATATTATTGGGAAAAAAAGGGGATTTTTTTTTTTAATGTACTTGATTTTTTTTTCTAATTTCTATTCACACATAGATACACACTGAGACGAAAAGTATAATATAGAGACGAGAGTAGCAGGAGTTGTCTTTGAAAACAGTTCTAAATATTTAAACGTTCGACTATATATATATATATATATTTATTTATTTATTATTTGTTTAAATGCTAAATCGAAAACTTGAGCGAAATTGAAAAATAAACTATATTTATAGTATATAATATAATAAATTGTCACTGAGAAATGAAGGAAGAACGATATTGTCGAATTTTTTTTATTCTTTTCGATTATAAATTTTAATTTGGATCAAAAAAAAAATTTTTTTTTTTAATAATTCAATGGAATTGAATAGAATTGAAGTGAATTAAATGGATTTCGATAACATTTTATATCATTCGAATTAAATTGAATAGAATTCTACAGAGTCCAATAGAATTGCATAGGCTTCAGTAGAATTGAATAGAATTTAAGAAAATTGAAAAGACTTCAATAAAATCGAATAGAATTCAATAGATTTGAATAGAATTCAGTAGAATTCGAATAAAATTGAATAGAATTCAATAGAATTCGAATAAAATTGAATAGAATTCAATAGAATTCGAATAAAATTGAATAGAATTCAATAGAATTGAATAAAATTGAATAGAATTGAATAAAATTGAATAGAATTCAATAGAATTCGAATAAAATTGAATAGAATTCAATAGAATTGAATAAAATTGAATAGAATTGAATAAAATTCAATAGAATTGAATAAAATTCAATAGAATTGAATAAAATTCAATAGAATTGAATAAAATTCAATAGAATTGAATAAAATTCAATAGAATTGAATAAAATTCAATAGAATTAAATAAAATTCAAAAGAATTGGATAAAATTCAATCTCTACAAAAAATTCAATAGAATTGAATAAAATCCAATAGATTTGAATAAAATTTAATAGAATTAAATAAAATTCAACAGAATTGAATAAAATTGAATAGAATTCGTTAGAATCGAATAAAATTGGATAAAATTCGTTAGAATCGAATAGAATTGAATAGAATCTAGTAGAATTTAATAGAATTCAATGGAATTCGAATTAAATTGAATGTAATCCTTTAGAATTGAATGGAATTAATTTTTTTTTAACTTGAATGCAAAACAATCGAAAAGAGAGAAAAAAATGTATTTAAAAAAAAAGAAAAGGACAAATATCGTTCAAGGCATTCAATTTACATCTGAGATCGAGATTGTGGGCTGAGAAGAAACTGCTCGTAGCCACGTTGATTCTCGTCGAAACGGCAAAAAGAAAAAAAAAATAAAATAAATAAAAAATAATACAGAGCCTTTTTTCCATTGTCAATATCAGCATCTAATTTATACTCAAATTTTTCCCTTTCTCTCTCTTTTCTCACAATATTAAAGATAATCGATTAAATAAGTACGACTCTATATTCACAAGAAAAATAACCGTCTCTTTGTTCTTTTTTTTTCATTTTTCTCTCTTAAAACATGAATACGAACAGCTATTATTATATTCTTTCTTTATCTCTTCTATTTTTTCATTTTTAAGTAAATTCAAGTTAGATAAGTATTAGAAAAAAAAATAATTATTAAGTAATTAATCCGTAGTGGCAGTGGAAGGGCTGGGGTTGTGGGAAGGGTGGGGGGAGGATGGCAATCCCCTCCCCAAAAAAAAGCGCAGTCACGTTTACAAATATATATATATAATATATAGTTACAATGTACAAACGTATATAATATATAATATATATTAAGAATATATTTCAAAAAACGTTCTCTCTCTATCTCTCACTCATATTTTCCGCAATCACTACACATATATATATTTAAATTACTGCAAAATAAAAAAAAAAATAAAGAAAAAAAAAATTTTTCAAAACCTCTTTTTTTAAATGATTGTGCGAATAATGCGAAATAATAAAAACCCCCACACAATGCAGTTTAAAAAAAAAAAGAAGCAGATGGAAAATTTTTTTTTAAATCATATTTTCTATATATATATATGCTTTTTTTTAATATATATATATACCTATACAATAGAATATAATAACATATTAATACAGTTTAAATTAAGCAACAACGATCGTCTTTTCTTCTCTATGAATTCCTCTATATTTTTTTTTTAATATTATTATACGCTCACGTTTAAAAACTATTTTTTTACTTCTATATTTTTTTTATACTTTTTTTTCTTCATAATTCTCTATGATTTTTTTTTTATTTCCTTAATGTTTAATTATTATTCTTTGAGATATGTATCGTCGTGTGTTTCACATTCTAAAAAATTCATTTCTATTCCTATTCGTCACTCAAAAAATTAATAAAAAAAAAAAAAAAAAAAAAAAAAAAAAAAAAACTGGGAGGGGTGGGGGGTGGACAAGGGAGATTCGACAACACCTGCTCTCTTTTCTCCTCTTATTCACTCATTCAACTATATAATCATCCAAAAAATTCTTGAGAGACCCTTTTTTCACGCCATTTTTTTTTCTTTCAGGGAAAAAAATAGATCTTTTCAACCGTCCGTCAAAATCACGTCTTGTATAATATGAGCTTCGTGTATGATTTTTTTTTTATTTAAGACTCATTTCTCTCGTTTCTTGGAAAAAGAATTTTTTTTTCACCGTTTTTTCTTTTTTTTATTTTTAAAAATTGTTTTTTCTACGAAAATGGCAGTTATCGGTCACAGCCAATGGCTATTTTTTTTTATATGTTAATGTATACGCATTACGCCCTTAATGTATTTTTATATATAATATATATTAAATCTATAATATTATTCGTAACTATTATAATTATTAAATATTATCGTTTACTGTATCGTTAAAATCTTAGCCACATTTATTATTAATGAATACTCGCTTTTTATTTATTTTAGTTTTTTTTTTTAAATTTCTTTATTAATTAGTATATGAAAAGTTGAGATCAAATGGAAAAATAGATATATTTATTATATAGAATTAAATTTGAATAAATTTTTCAATTAGATTTTGAAATATTTATATATAGAATTTAATAAAATTTTGATGGAATTGAATTGAATTTTTTTTTCTAAAAAAAAAAATGAAAATCTCACTAAAAATACAAATAGAATTCGATAAAAATAGAAAACTATTTAGTGGAATTAAAAAATATACGATAGAATTGAAAAAAATACGATAGAATTGAAAAAAATTCGATTGAATTAAAAAATATTTGATGGAATAAAAAACAAAACTTCAATAGAATTCAAAAGACTTAAAATAGAATATAAAAGAATTTCGTATACGATGCACAGCAGAATTGAATAGAATTGAAGTAAAATTTAACAAAATGAAATAGAATTGAATAAATTTCAACAAAATTGTATACGATTCAATAGAATTTTAATTAAACTCATAAAAACTAAAATAAAATTCTTACGAATTGAAAAGTAATAAAAAAAAAAATTTGGCAGAATTCACTAGAATTAAGAAAATTTAACAGAATTGAATTGAATAAGTTCCATTGAATTAAATAGAATTCAAATTGAATTGAATTTTCTTGAAGTAAATAGAATTCGATTGAGTTGAATAAAATTTAATTGGACTAAATAAAATTTATTGTAATTAAATAAATTGAACAGAATCGAATGGAATTTCATTGAATTGAATGAATTCCAAAAAATTAATAAGAAATCCATTGGATTGAATAGATTTCAATAGAATTAAATTGAATTTTATTGAATTGAACAGAATTCTATTTTATTGAATAGAATTAAATTAAATCAAATAGAATTCATTAGAATTAAAAAGAATTTGACTGAACTGAATAAATTTAATGCAATTAAATAGAATTCAATGAAATTAAATCGAATTCAATGTAATTAAACTAGATTTTTAAATAATAATGTCAAATTAAATTGAATTTAACGATATTCAATAATGAAATGCAATAGATCTTAATTTTTGTTAAATAGAATTAAATGAAATTCAAAAGAATTGAATAGCGTTCAACAGAATTGAGTAGAATTCGAATTAACTAGAATAGAATTGTATAGAATTCAACAGAACTGAATGTAATCTAAATTAACTTAAAAATAATTCAATGGAAGTAAATAGTATTTAGTAAAATTTACAGAAATTAAATGCTTTGAACGGAATTGAATTGAATTCAAAAGAATTGAATGGAATTCAATAAAATTGAATAGAATTCAATAAAATTGAATAGAATTCAATAAAATTGAATAGAATTCAATAGAATTGAACAGAATTCAATAGAATCGAACAGAATTCGAATAAAATTCAATAGCATTCGAATAAAATTGAATAGAATTCAATAGCATTTAATAGAATTAAGTAGAATGGGATAGAATTCAATAGAATTGAATAGAATTCAATAGAATTTAATACAATTCAATAGCGTCCAACAGAATTGAATAGAATTATAATTAAATAAAATTAAGGAGAATTATAAATAGATATTCAACAGAATTGAAAAAATGAATTTACAAACCAAAATTAAGTCAAATATAATTAAATTTTTATTAGAATTTCATATAAAAACGTAATAAAAAAATACAGTAAAGAATCGAAAAGAGAAAAAAACCACAAATATCTCCATTCAAATAAACGAGATTAAGTCACAGAGATGATATTATAATACATTAAAGACGTGCGTGTGACGAACAGTCGATTTTTCCAAAAAAAAAGAAAATCGTAAAAATCATTTTGAAAGGGAATAATTTTTTTCTTTCTTTTTTTCTTAAACAAAAATATCGTTCATAGAAGAAAAAAAAAAGAAAATTCTCGACTTATACAATATTTTATTCGAATTTTTAAACTTATTTTCATTCCTATATATCTTTTTTGTATAAATGTATAATAAAAACACGGGTGAATTAAATTCTCACCCCCCCCTAAAATTTCTTTCTTTTTCCCTTGCAAAACGATTTAACGGTTTATATTATAATTATTGAACAGCTGAAAAAATTTTCTGGTCTCTTTTTAACACTCTCATACACATTATTACAATCACACAAAAATTTATACATACACAACGAAAAAATTGTTTCACAAAAAAAATTGTTTTTTTTTGCGAAAAAATCCCTTTTTTTTATTCTAAAAAACTTTTTTTTAAAAACGCCCTTTTTGTCTTATTTATACGCGTTTGAGAAAAAAATTCACGAGCGCAAAACGCCATAAAATAATATATATTTATATATAGATTACTAGCATTTTCTCATTTCCCTCCTGGTTTTTTTTTCTTTCTTTTCTTTTTTTTTTTTTGTTTCGCTATAATAGTTTATTTATTTATTTATTTTTTAATATATTTATATATTATATTATAATTCTTATATATCCTACGTATTTAAAAATCTTCATCGATCGTGTCTAAATCTTGTCTTACTAAAAACTTGTTTTTCACTATTTTTTTTTTTTTATTAAACCCTCCCTCCCCATCCCTTTTCTATTTAGCCCCCGAAAAAAATTTCCCTATTTTTATAAATTTTCATTTTCTCACGTGAAAAAAAATTCTATCTCCAAATTTTATATAGTGATTTTCGATCAGACTTATATATGTTGAAGTGTTTTGTGAATGACATTATTTTGCTTGATCTACATATATATATATGTTTACTTTTTTTTTAATTATATTCCGCCATATTGCGCGGTGCTTTTTTTTTAAAAGTCAGAACGTGAATGCTAAAGAGAATACCTATAAATATATAATATATATGTATGTCATCACCATTTTTTCAATTTTTTTTTTTTTTTTTTTTTTTTGTTTATACTTAACATAGAAAAAATATAGAATTTACTTTGCCTCGAACTTAAATATAATAAACCTCTCTTCTCGAGTATCGTTTTTTTTATAATATTATTTTTTATATATATATATATATTTATATGTATAATGTCATAAGTGCGCGGGGTGCATCTTATTACACAATGACAGGGGAAGGGCGCGAAATATCGCCCAGAAATAAAAATTAAAAAAAATAGACGAATTTTTTTTTTCTTCTCAATTTATATTACTAAAAACAAAAAAACGTAAAGATTTGAAATTCTTTCATAAAATGTAATTTTGTCATTTTTTTTTCTAATATATAAATAGGATTAATTATTTTACAATATTAATTTTTTTTTTTTTTTTTGAAAATTAATATTATAATTAATTAAGATATATTTATAAGTGCGATATAATTTTGGAGAACGCGAAAGAAGGAAGGAAGACCTTTAAAAGGTCGCCACATTTGAAAAAATTAAAAAAAAAAAAAATAACCTTAAGGGGTTGTTCGAAAAAAAAGCGGAAATTGTCCGCGTGGTTCCTTCTCAGTTCTCACCAACACGAATTTTAAATATATATATATAAATATGTCGGTGCTACAATGATGATTTGAGCATATTTTCGTAATGGCAACGATTTAACGAGACCAAGAATTTTTTTTTTTTAAACACAAAATGAAAAAAAAGAAACGAAACATCCAAATTTAAAAAAAAAAATTTCGTCAACTTTTGTCAGCCTTTTATCACTATTTTTTTTTTTTTTTTTTTTGAAAAAATTATAACGCCTTGAACAAAATTCACGACTTTTGATATTTATGGGGGTTCGAGCGGGATATCCCAGAAAGAAAAGTCGTAAATTCCGTTTCTTTTTTTCTTTATCTCGCGGGGCCATTTTGCAAATATTAATATGTGATATTTATATAATATATATAATATAATATAGCATATATATATAATATACGTTTTCTCTTCTTCTCTTCTGAAATAAAAAGCTACATGCGTCGACGATCCCTACACGAAAGTGTATATCATTTTTTTAAAGAATTATTTTTAATCACTAATTTTTTTTTTTTCCTTTTTTTCATTTTTCATTTCTCAAGAATACAGATTTTGCGATTGGCCGCTTGGTTTTATGCTCCATGATTCGTCATAAAGAAAAAAATTTATATTTCGAAAAAAGCAAAAACTAAGAAATTAAGAGGAAAGAAAAATTTCCTCCCGTCACTCTTTTGACCCTCGTCTTTTTTTTTCTTTACGCGCGAAAAATACAAAATCTAAATTCTCCTCGATAAAATATTCATATATTTATATTTATATATATATATAATATATTTATGTTTATATTTATATTTATAGAATATATATTATTATTATTTTTATTATTATAATTATTATTTCAATTGCTGTGTCGCTTATATAAAGGTAAGATAATACTCTATGCGAGGGGGTTGTTTTTTTTTTTTTTTGACGGTAGGAAATGAGCCCTGACGAATCATTTCGCTCCCTGATGGTTGGAAAAGTAAATTTTAGATTCAAAGTGCAACGCGAATTAGTTCGCTTTGCATTTTGAATGGCCAGTAAAATCGCTTTTGGGTTTTTAATCATAAATAAATATCGATTCGTTGTATTCGGTTATTTTTTTTTTATGGGGAACGTGAGCGATGTGATGAATCGAATTTCCCGAAAATGCATTGGCAGCAGACAGCAGTTGTGGAATTTGAAAATTGTGCGCGTTCATCATTATTCAAATTCGGGATTTTTTTTTTTTTTTTTGTTCTGTTCATTGACAATCAGATATTCATTGACAATAAGTTTTCCGGTCGCGCGATGGAAAATTCTTAATTGTTAAATGTTAAATGTTTAAACGAGGATACGATCGTCAAGGATGAATGGGAGACAAAAAAAAAAAAAAATTTTCTTGGCCGCTCGTTCGTTCAGCAGTTTTTCCTTCGTCTTCTTCTTTTTCCGCTTTCGGCTGCTCCGTTGCCGGAGGTGACGTTCTTTTAAGAGAGTATGCGAAGTGCCTGGAGAACGGGCCTCGAGCACACTGGACAACTTGGATCAGAACTTTCGCAGACGCGATTGCCGCAATCGAGACAGAAGAGATTGTGACCGCAGGGCACGAGTGCGGCGGTGATTTCCTTGTCGCCACAAACGACACATTCGCGTCTTCCATTGGCGCTGCCACCGCCCAATAATGAATCGGTTGGCGATGCTGGCGAGGCCGAAGCAGGTGGCGATGGTCTCGATGGCAGTGCAACGCCAGGGAATGACCAGATCGATGACGATGATGCGGCTTGCGATTCGAATGATGGCGATTCACCCAAACCCTCATCTCTCTCCAAACCAGCGCCCCAAATAGCGACGAGATCATTCAAACCCGGAGCGCCTGAGCTGCTCGATGAACTGCTGCAACTTCCACTGCTGGAGAAAGCACCACTCGAGCCATTCGATCCATTCGATCCCGATGGATCGAGACATCCAAGAATGGAACCAAGACCGCCACGACACAGAGCACCCAAAAGATCAGCGTCCTCAATGCCTGGACCAGTGCCAGTGCGTAGGGCAATGTGAGCCTCGATTTCACGTTTTGCCGCCTCAACACTCTCTGGGAGACCGGTGACTTCAAAAACTGGCTCCTTATCGCGACTTGGTGTCACAATGTAGGTGTGCGTTTGATGTTGAATCCTCTTGATTGTCGCGCCCTTTGGACCAACGACAAGGCCAACAACTCTGTATGGTACTCGCACCTGAATTGTCACGTGTCCTGGAACTGATGCTGGTGGTCCTGGTGGTGCGCCAAGTAAGGCTCCCAATGAACTTTTACGTGATGCACGAATCTGCGAGAAATGCTCGGCTGCTGAGAGAATTTCACGTTTTGCCTTTGCAACATCCTCCTTGCGTCCTGTCACAACGAATACTGGCTCCTCACCACGTACTGGCGTTTTTATATAGGTGTTTGTCTTTGCACGCAGTGCTTTAATCTTGCAACCTGCAATCAGAAAAAAGAGGGAACACATCAGAAAACTGCTTTTCAGTCATCATAACAATCATTATTATCATTATCATCATCATAACAATCATTATTATCATTATCATCATCATCATTATCATTATCATCATTATCATTATCATCATCAATCTAACACTTTTTTTTACTCAAGTTAATAAACAATAAGTAGGTAAAGTTAGGTTAAGCCTAAGGCTTAACCAAGGCTTAAGCTCCAAGCTTAGAACCCAGACTTGGAACTCAGGCTTCAGTCTTGCTATCCGGGCTTAAGCTTTGGAATCCAGACTTAAGTATTGATAGCCAAACTTAACGCTTGGAATTCAGGCTTTAGTTTTGTTAATCAAGCTTGAGGTCTTGTAGCCTAACCGGAAATTAAGACTCAGGCCTGAGTTTAAACCTAGGTTTAAATTTGAAACCTGACTCAAAACTAGGTTTAAGTTTTGCTATTTAGACTTAAGGCTTGGAACCCAGGCTTACCTATTCTTAGCCAACATGAAGGCTTGGAATTTAAGTCTTGGAGCCCAGGATTTTGTCTTGCTAGCCAGACTTAAAGCTTAGAACCCAGGCTATTGTCTTGCTAACCAGGCTTAAAGCTTAGAACTCAGACTTAAAGCTTGGAACCCAGGCTTTTGTCTGGCAAACCAGGCTTAAAGCTACATAACAATACCGGATAGCAAGACCCAAGCTTGGGTTCCAAGCCGTAGGGCTTGGAACCCACGATTGAGTCTTGCTTTCAGGATTTAAGATTAGGTACCCAGGCTTGGATTTTCTTCAGAAATTTGCAAAAAAGAAGATTGAGAAAAGAAAAAAAAGAAGTTTGAGAGAAAAAAGAAAATCGAGAGAAGGAAGGAAAGAAGCAGAAATAGAGAAAGAAGAAAAGAACAAGATTGAGAGAAAGAAGGGAAGGAAGCAAAATGGAAGAATTAGAGAATGAAGGCAAGGAAGGAAAAAAAAGAAAATTTAGAGAAAGAAGGAAAAAAAAGAGAGAGAGAGAGCAACGAACAGGAAACTGGAAGGCACTGAAAGGAAGGAGGTCCCGACCTGGTCTGGTCCTCTCATTCTCACAGACTCTCTGGCCTTGAGTCGGCGCAATGCTAGCAATGCAGGTGAACCACTCCTGGCTTTCTCTCTCTCTCTCACTCTTTCACCATTAAAATTTCCTCTCTCCCTTCAAACTCCTTTCTCGCTCTCTTATTCCTCATGGCACAATCCATCCTCTATCCTTTATTACACTCTGACTCCCTTTCGTTTCGTTCACTCTGATTCACTCTCTCCTTCGCGCCTGTCGCGAGACTATACAACAACCCGAAGGTTCGCATACCACTCTCATCCTTCTCTCTCTCTCTTTTTTTTCTCCTCCACGCACAAATCTCATTAAGTGCCCCATCTTTTGCTCTTGTTTCTCAATTCGAGATTTATCCATTTTCAAAATTGGAATAACTTTTTAAGTCTTAAAATATAGAAGAGTAAATTTTAAGTAAATTAAAAATTTACATTTATTATTAATCTGTTATTAATTATTACCAGTCATAATTATTAAATTTTACTACACGAAATTAATTCCATAGTAAAATTTAGTTTTATTTTATTTTTTTATTCAATTTCGAGTAATAACTCCTAATTGACGAGTTTTTTTTTTTGTCAGTTTTTATTCATATTTAATTAAAGGCTTGAAACAGGGCTAAAAGTTTAATATTAGGACTTTAAACGAGGCTGGGGACTTGATAACCGACCTTGAAACAAGGCTAGACAGTGAGGCTTGAAAAGAGTCTGGAAACTTAATAATCAGGTTAGAAAAGTGGCTCGAGGCCTAATAACGAGACTGAAAGTTTTACATCCAAGCTTAAAATAAGCTTTGGGGCTTAGCAACCAGGCTTGGGACATGCACACAACGCTTAAGACTTGGAACCCAGGCTTTGGCCATGCTATTTAAACTTAAGGCTTGGGACCCACACTTGTGCCTTGTTAACTTAACTTCAAGCTTGGAACCCAGTCTTTAGTCTTGCTAACCAGGCTTAAGGCTTGAAACCCAGGCTTAAAGCTTGAAACCCAGGCTTTAGCCTTGTTATTCAGTCTTGCCAACCAGACCGAAAGTTTGGAACCAAGGCTTTGGTCTTGCTATTCAGTCTTACCAACCAGGCTTAAGGCTTGGTACCCAGACTTAAATCTTGTGAACCAGGCTTAAGGCTCGGTACCTAGACTTGAGCCTTGCTGACTGAGCTTAAAGCTTGGAACCCAGGCTTCAGTCTTGCTAACCAGGCTTAAAGATTGGAACCCAGGCTTCAGTCTTACTAATCAGGCTTAAAGCTTGGGATCCAGGCTTGGGTCTTGGTATCTAGATTCAAAGCTTGGAACCCAGAAGGTTTTTCCTCTAAAGGAAAATAAAATGAAGCAAAAAAAAAAAAAATTGAATCAATTTCGGAGAAGACGCAATTAGTTAAGCAGACTGTTTGTCTATAAAGTAGAGCAGAGCGAAAATAATAATAATAATAATAAACATTTCTTTGAACCAATAAAATTAAAAATTAACCACAAAGGGAAAATTATTGACCGGAAACATTATACGCAATGATTGCACTTAATGCACATTCCCCTTTCATAGTCCATGATCCTTGAATTACGACGCGACAATGTCAGGGACATTTGAGGTTTATTTCTTCAGGGACATTTTACTTGTGTATTTGTTCGTCGAACAACTCTGTAATCTTGACATCGATACGAACTTTATGAACGCAATTTTGTTTGACTGTCATTGCGCCATTCCACCTACGAGAAAGTACGATCCTCTCTCTCTCTCTCTCTCTCTCTCTCTCTCTCTCTCTTTCGAATCGCAAATTCTTATAGACAAGGTCAATTCAACTCCCCCTTTTATTTTGAACCAATATTAAAAATTTGTTCCATCTAATGTCATACATTTGGTCCAAGAACACCATCAGATCCATAATCAGAAAGAAGAAGACGAAGACGAATATGAAGTAAAAGGAGAAAGAAGAAGACGAAGAACTTTTTGATACAAATACCCCCCCAAAAAAAAGGAATGTATAAATAATTTTAATACGAAAAAAATTTAAATGCCAATGGAAGAAATTTTCAATTCTCCATCAATTTGTGTTACAATAATAATTATGATTACAGTCTTTAGGAGCAGTTTGCTTTTCAGCAAGAGAGCAGAAGGAGAGAGGAGAGAGAAAGAGATTCAAGGCAAGGTGTATAAGGTACTCGACCGCAAGTTAAGTACAAGACCCTCATAACGAGCGACCACTGCTTTTAAAAACCACTTTAGAGCGTCATCTCTCTCTCTTTTTCTCTCCTAAGGTTAAATAAAAATTCTTAACCAGTTCGAGATTTTAAAAAAGTGAAAATTTACTTTGTGAACAAGAATAGTATACAGTGTGGATGATGATTAAAGAAAAAATGAAATGGGTAAAGAAAATAAAAATGTCGACAATTGCAACGAACTTGGTGTGGATAAAATCTTGTGTAAGGTTAAGTCCAAGGTTGGATGGAACAATCATATAACTGGGAATATTAAATATTTTTTTTTCTTTCTTTATATTCTTTATTTCCTCTGTTTTTCTCTATTTGCTCTTTTTCCACTATTTTTCGTTATTTCCTCTCTTTTTTCTTTATATTAAGGCTTGGCTTTAAGGCTTGGAACCCAGGCTTCAGACTTACTATAGTCTAACTTAAGACTTGAAATCCAGACTTAAGTCTTGCTATTCAGGCTTAAACATTGTTAGTCAATCTTAAGGCTTGGAACCCAGGCTTGAGTCTTGCTATCCGGACTCAAGTATTGTTAGTCAAACTTAAGGTTTGGAACTCAGACTTTAGACTTAGTAGCCAGGCTTAACGCTTGGAACCCAGGCTTGAGTGTTGCTGTCCGGACTTAAGTATTGTTAGTCAAACTTAAGGCTTGGAACCTAGACTATAGACTTACTAGTCGGGCTTAAGGCTTGGAACCAATACTTAAGTCTTAAGTCTTAAGTCTTGAGTCTTATCCAGTCTTGAGTATTATTAGTCAAACTTAAATCTTGGAACCCAGGCTTTAGTCTTGCTATCTAGGCTTAAGGTACTGTAGCCAAACCGAATAGCCAAACTCAAGCTTGGATTCTAATCCCCAAAGCTTGGAATCCAGGCTTGAGTCTTACTATTCGGGCGTTAAGCTCGATTACCCAAGCTTGCGTATTGCTATCTGGACTTAAAGCTTGGTAGCTTAATTTAAGGTTGGAATTCAGGCTTTAGTCTTGTTAGTCGAACTTAAGGCTTGGAACACAAGCTTGGGTCTTACTATCCGAGCTTATTGGAACCCAGATTTGAATCTTGCTATGCAGGCATAGAGCTTGATAACCAAGATTGAGCTTTGATATTCGGGCTTAAGACATGGACCCCAGGCTTTAGTCTCGTTTCCAAGCTTAAGGCTTGGAACTCAGGCTTTGGTCCTGTTAGCCGGACTTAAGGTTTAGAGCCCAGGCTTGAGTCTTACTATCCGGGCTTGAGGCTTGGAGCCCACGCTTTAATGTTGTTATTCGGGCTTAAGGCTTGGAACCAGGCTTCATTCTTGTTTCCAAGCTCAAGGCTTGGAACTCAGGCTTTGGTCCTGTTAGCTGGACTTAAAGCTTAGAACCCAGGCTTGAGTCTTACTATCCGGGCTTAAGGCTTTGAGCCCAGGCTTTAATCTTGTTATTCGAGCTTAAGGCTTGGAACCCAGGCTTTAATCTTGCTAGTAGGGCTCCAGGCTTGGAACATAGACTGTAAAATTGTTATTAGGGCTCCAGGCTTGGAACATAGACTGTAAAATTGTTATTAGGGTTCCAGGCTTGGAACCTAGGCTTTAATCTTGTTTGTGGGGGCTCCAGGCTTGGAATTTAGGCTTTAGTCTTGATAGGATAGCTCTAAGCTTGGAACCCATGCTTCAGTCTTGGCACTTAGATATAAAAAAATCTGCAAAACTACAAATTTACCCCCAAAATTTCAAAAGAAAC